AACAGGAACCTCTCTAAGATATCTTCAGTGGTCCCTTCCCCTTTGGATTTTTTTAGAGCATTTTTAAATGTACTCACAAAGCGTTCCACTTGGCCATTTGATTGGGGATGGAATGGAGGTGTTCGCAGGTGCTGGATTCCGTTCTGCCGACAAAATTGTGAGAAGATTCCGGACGTAAACTGTGTTCCGTTGTCACTAACTATCAATTCCGGGATTCCAAAACGACTGAATAGTTGACGTAGTTTACTGACTGTGCAGCTTGCAGTAGGGTGTTCCATGAGAAAAATTTCTGGCCACTTGCTATATGCATCAACCACCAAAAGATAATTTTGTCCATGGAGTGGACCAGCAAAGTCCAAATGTATACGCTGCCACGGTAACTGTGGTATTGGCCATGATTGCAGCTCTGCTTTTCGCGGTGCTTTTGTCGCTAATGCACATTTGGTACAGGAACGGGATAGCTGCTCCAGTTGGGTGTCTAAATGCGGCCAGTATACATAACTTCGTGCTAGTGCTTTCATGCGATTTATTCCAGGATGTCCTGCATGCAACTGTTCAAGCACTGCTGGTTGTAGCTTCTTGGGAATTATGACACGTTCGGCAAACAGCAGACAGTCATCGATGATTGAAAGAGAGAGTCTTCGTTGGTAAAACTGTTGAAGCTCTGTGGAACTGATTTTCGAGGGCCACCCTTCTAGGTGGAACTTTCTAACTTCTTGTAGTGTTGGGTCTCGAAGCGTTTCTTCCCTGACTTCATCTGACGACACTGGAGTGTTTCGAATGGCATCTGCCACTATACTTCGTATTTCTGGATCTACTGTTGTGGAGGCGATGATTATATCCTCTGGTCCAGGATGTTGAACTCCAATTAATCGGGAGAGAGCGTCAGCTTGACCGATAGTATTTGTCGACTGATACTTGATATTAAAATCATAACTCAGGAGCATTGTTGCCCAGCGCTGTAGTCTATTAGCCGTATAGACAGGGATTCCTTTCTTAGAACCAAAGATTGCAATCAAAGGTTTGTGATCTGTCAGTAGAGTAAATGTACGACCATAGAGCATTTTATGAAATCTTTTGACTGCGAAAATGATTGCAAGAGCTTCCTTTTCAATTTGGCTGTAGTTTCGCTCGGCTGGAGTAAGTGATCTAGCAGCATGGGCAATTGTCTTTTCTGATTTATCCGGAAACACGTGAGATATCACTGCTCCAACTCCATGACTTGAGGCATCAGATGCAACAACAATTTCCAAGCTGGGATCGAAGTGCGTCAAAAGAATCTTTGAGCTGAGCATTGATTTGACTCTGTCAAAAGATGCTTGACATTCTGCTGACCACTGCCAAGGTTTATCTTTCGATAGTAATTCATTTAGGGGACCTCTCACTCGATGCATTTCAGGCAAGAATGTGCTGTAATGACTGATTAACCCCAAGAAGGATCTTAATGAAGAAACATCAGTTGGTGCAGGCATCTTCTGAATGGCTTCGATGTTGGCAGGATCTGGTCGGCGACCGTTCTTATCTAAGATAAAACCAAGGTATTTGATCGAATGCATGAAAAAGATACATTTTTCCTCACGTAGTTGGAAACCATACTCCAACACTCGGTTAAGGACTTGGTGTAGTCGATCAGAAAGTTCACTATCAGTTGAACCCATAACTATGATATCATCTAGGTAAGCTGCTGTACCAGGTATACCTGTTAGCATCGTATCCATTATTTGCTGAAAGATGGCGGGTGCGGTCTTGATGCCAAATGGTAGACGAGTGTATTGAAATAACCCTCGATGAGTGTTAATAGTCAGAAGCTCTCTACTATCTTCATCTACTTCCACTTGGAGATAAGCATCAGAGAAGTCTATTTTCGCGAAGCATGTCCCACCATTAAGCTTGGCAAACAGGTCTTCAGGAACTGGTAATGGATATTGATATACATCTAACGCAGCATTTAAACCGGTCGAGAAATCGGCACATATGCGTATAGTCCCATTGGCCTTCTTAATCACTACAATCGGTGCGGCCCATGCAGAGTAGTTAACTGGTCGGATTACACCAGCCTGCTGCAAGCGATTAAGTTCCTGGTCGACTAGCTCAAGAGCAGCATATGGCACAGGACGTCTCGGGCGAAAAATAGGTATGGCATCTGGTTTTACTGGTAAATGCGCTTTCATCTTGGTACAGTGGCCAAGGCTATTCTGAAAAACAGAGGCAAACTTTCTTTTCAGTTTTTCTAGTAACCTTTCACCTGTCTTCTTTGGAAGTACTGAGCTGTTCAATGATGAACACGATACGTTACAGACACTGTTAATTGGTACATCCATTATTCCAAGTTTGTCTAACATATCTAGACCAAGAAGATCAAGGTTCGGCCGTTCTGTTAGGTAACATATTCCTGTACAGTTAGTTCCATTGAAGGAAAATTCACACTGTAATTCACCAACCAGTTTTAGCACACCACCTGATGCGTTTTTAGCCGTTTTCTTAGATGGCTTCATTGGCGGTTTACCCAGCAAGTTATATGTTTCTCTAGACACTAACGTGATATCTGATGCCGTGTCAATTTGAAGACGAGCTGATATGCCGTTTATCTGGATAGTAACATACTTTCTCTGAATGTCATAGTTTGTTTGAAAGGCAGCTACCAAAGAAAGAGATTTGGACTCGGCTGATTTCACATGTCGAGGACGTTTATGCTTCTTCTTAGGCTGAGACGTACGCTTCGGTGGACAATGACCTTCTTTATGTCCACGTTTGTTGCACTCCTGACATTTATGCTTCTTGAACGGACAGAATCGTGCATAATGCCAATCACCGCATAACCAGCATGCAGTCCTTGGTTTGTTACGAGTTGTTACCGGCTTCTGAACTTTTAACCTAGTAATAGTATTTACACTACCGCAGGTTAAATTAGGATTTACCTGTTCAATCAACTCGTTGTCGTGTCTGATGCTTTGTAGACGCTTACACTCATCTGTCAATGTTCTGAGTGTGACGTTTGGATCTTGGTCCAGTCGAGCCAAAAGTCTAGTCCTGATCTCAGCGTCTTGTGGTGACTGAAGAGCTTTGATGAATATTAAGCATTTAAATTGGTCATCAGTCAACGAGCGCAACTTGAAACGTTCACATTCTCTGTTGACAATGTCTGCTAGAACACCATATTCATCAGCTTCGCGTTTCACCAAATTTAGACACCGATATCGAATACTAAACAACGAGGATGACTCGCCGAATATCTCTGACAGCTGAAATACCGTCTCCTCGAAACTGAGCTCTCGAGGTAACTTTGGCAAAATATGGTCAGCGAAACGTGCATGTTCGTTGCTTCCCAACTTACGTACCAACAATCGGGTCTTCCACGCATCGTCTTGATTACAGAATTCTGTTCTAAATGTATCTTCCCAACGTCTGAACCACGTGAGAAAAGTATTTCCATTTTCGGGATCATAGACGAATTCTGGGATGCTGCTAGCAACTGCATCACAAGACGAACTTGAAATAGCGTGTGAACTCGAACTGTGGATGTTGAACTGTCGAGTCAGAGTCTCCAACAACCGCATTTGTGCATCAAGTTGTGCTTGCTGTTGTTGTAGTATTCGGTTAAGCTGGTCATCTGATATAGGCATCTTGAATTTGTTTTCCTTTTTCCCCGTCGCCACTGTTATAAATCGCTTTTCTTACGGTTATGACCCGGCTATTCCTATTGCTTAGTATTCTCGGACACCGATTCACTCGACAAGTCCCCAAATCAAAACACGGTTGAACAGGAAGAGATTATATTCCAAATAACAAGGTTAGATGGAAGTCAGAAGCACAATAGAGAAAAACGTCAGTATATTTATAGTATCCTACATGAGAAGATTCTAGAGTGTTCTCCAACTATCGACTAGTGCTGATTGGTTAAGAATTAGCCAATCAGCGTGCACCAAAGCAATCATGCATTGAGCATGCTTTAATCCGGTCTATGTCCCGCTAACACTCTCCTAGAGTTACTGCCGGTCCCAGTTTCGGGTAAAGGAGGAGGGTTGGGCATGGGTTCGGCAACCCCACTTCGTAATAAGTGTCTTGCTAAAAAACGCCAGTCAGATTAAATAAATTCCTTTAGGTTTAGGGTTAGGTTTATAGATTACCTTCTACACTGTTTCGTTCCACTAATACATATTCTTTCTGCAATCGTATTTTTTATGCATAATACTTCCTAAGACCATTGATACTATTACTACATTTACCACTGGTATTCGATCTGATAGTTTCATCTCGCTGTGCTAATGAGATGCAGCAACTTGAACCGACGTACGTATGTGCTAGGTTCTACGTTAAGTAAGACTGACCGAATGATTTGACATCTACTTTTGCAATTGGTTGTCGGGTGTTTATTATTAGGGGTGGGTCTTTAAATTTGATGTAGCTTTGAGCTTTAATAGTTAGGACGTCAGTATCAAGGCTATTTGAATAGCTATAATATTAAAGCACAGTATTTAGGTCTTTAAAGATATTTACTGGATACTTATTTTACAAATGTCCTACTTGATAAAACTCATCTATCAATTACTAATTGTTGTACTGGGCTTTGAGGGCAAGTTATACCACTCGAGTGTCTCAATCACAGTGAAGCGGGTTTGCACCTGCGACTGATTTGTTGAAAGTCTAACAATGGCTATTAAGTCACCACTCTGTTGACGAAATACTTCGAAATAATCGAATCAGTTATTAAGAATAAGCATAAAGCGTTTTAAACGATTGGGTTTAATATATATATATATATATAGAAGCTGTAAACACATCATTAACCATTACGTATATGTACTGTATACACCCCTTAAACGTTCTGTGCTCAGAGATTCAGAAGTGTAAAAGTTGTCTTTTAAAATGACAGTTACAGTTTAGTCGGTACTTTGTTTGAACAGTATAATCGGTAAGCAACTTGTTTATCAACGTGCTTTAATTTTTCCATCCGTTTCTCACTAACTCCATAATTTTTTAGGTCCAATTAAACTGAATAAATGAAACAAGAAGATCGAGGAAATACAAAATCCAATACTCCTAATCAAGTATCAGCCCATGGTCGGAAGCAGAAAGCATCAAATAGTAGATCTAGCCGAAGTCGAAAATCTAAAGACCGTGCATCTAAAAGGAAGTCACATGCCAAAGGTAATGAATCTTCCCAACCGGCAGATGCTTCTGCTTTGAAACGTAAGAAAAATGAACGTTCCAAAACCGTACCTGAAAAGACTCGTAGTAGTGGTCGTTGTACACGTTCTTCAACTTCTGCCGTAGTTGCTAAGTCTACACCAAAAGCCAAAGTATCCAACGCATCAACAAAAGAAACTTATTCTTATTCTGATATGTTTCTTGCGGATGATGATGAACACGATTCGGATGAAAACGTTGATGTTGGGGATGAAGATAGTGAATATGCTCCATCTGATGAAGAAACTCTTAATAAATTGTCAAAAATATCAAAGTCTCGTAAGGGAGTTTCTTCACGCACACGCCGAAGTTCAAAGGCCCAGTTGACAGTCAGTAGTGATGTGGAAGAAGGTGGATCCACTGACGAAGACGAAGCTGGAGAGTCCGAATCAGAAGAGGAAGATGAGGATGATGAAGAACTGGGAGATTCTATTTTAATGGATCATTCTGGTGTTAATGGTGGTATGCCAATACAGTTATTTGAAGATGAAAGCAATCATATACAAAGAGATATTTATGATTTCGATGCACAAAGCATTATTTCAGATAAACGTGTTACTTCATTAAAGAAAAAGATACCAACAAATGCTGTCAATCGTGGTATGAATGTAACGTCAGCTAGTCGGTCAACGCGTAGAACAGCTTCTGGAAAAGGAACTAGTTGGGGATCGAATATTTATAGTGCTCTTGCAGCTGCTCTTAAAACACGCGCAGATTTAGATGCTTATTCAAGTTTCTTGAAATCAAATGTTTTAAATGCTAGTTTCGATAAATTTTTAGCGGAGATCTGTAAACCTAGTAATCAACATGCTAATTTATTTTATGGTGCATCTGCCAGTTTACAAAGTCTCATGAGTCGTATTAATGATCATGATAAAGTAGTTGAACTATTGCATGCATTTGTCGCACGTCCATATGATCAATTACAACATCGTATTGTTTATTTAATACCTATAATTCATCAACCATTGTTTGGTGTTGCTCATATGACACCAATAAGTCAACATCTTGAAACACTTAGTAAAGATATTGATGAAGAACTAATTATTAAACCGGCTTATATTCTTAATCAAGAGACAAATTTACTAGCAATTCGTAGTTCTGTCGCAAGTGATTTTGGTGTATCAAATACCCAGTATAATTTTATTACTGGTGCTGGTAATCTTGGAAGATACATGCCAGATATTCATCAATTAATTGTTCCATCGGATTTGTATCAAAGATTAACTGAACTAGTTGCATTGCCTCCAGAGCGAATTTATGAATTAGCTCTTGCCAGAGTACATCAACAAGACGAGGAAGCTGATATAGATATTAGTCCACTTGAACCACCGAATTTACAAAGAATTGTTTTAGCTATTAATAAAGAAGGTCAGTTGATTGGGATAGCAATTTTAGACACATGGAATAGTACTGAAATTCCACATAACAGACCAAAAGCTCCTATCGATCTAATTAACATAACTTCATTATCGGACAAAACTTTTTCAGTAGACCAACATGGTACAGAAGAAGCAAATCGTCAAACTAGAGAGGAACAAGTTCGTGAAGTGCTAGATAACATTATTGATTGGGTTGTTTTAAAATCTGATCCTAAAGATTATAGTTCACTAGCAAAACGTGGAAACAAGCAAGAGTCTTCTCCACTTGGACCAGTACGTTTTATAGATGCATTTATTGTTAAACCAAATGGACGTCGAGATACTTTACTATTAGTTGCGCATCCTGTTAGTTGTCATCCATCTGAAAATGCTGTTGAAAATGATAATTTCTTTGTTTATTCTGTTGTTGATGAATCAAAGTTTTGTCTAGAAAAACATGGATTTATGCCAGAATTATCTATAGCACTTGATGGTGTACATACAGTTGATCCAGAAGATATACTTGAAGATAAATCTTTGTTAGTAGTTCCTGATCTTTTATTTGATACTTTACGAAAAGTTATGCTACGTGAATTGGCCAGTTCTAGTAGTACAGCTGCTGCTGCTGCAGCTGTTGTTGCTTCGTCGAGACCAGACACTACAACTCTTCCATTGACATCAACTGGTCCTGCAGCTGTAATTCACTGTACAAAATTTGTCATACTCGATCGCCAAAGGCGTGTTCCACTTGCGATTGCATTTGATTCACCTGTTCGCCTTACTCTCCAGGTAGCAGATGATAAGCTTGGTTTACACCCCCACGGTGAAGCTGCTTCTGTCAATTTCGATCAAATCACTCCTTCAGAGTTAAAGTCATATGAGTCATCATTTAAGCCAACTTCTGCTGAATATCGTTTAGTTGCTATAAACGGTTTGTTGTATGGTTTACAAATCGACGATCAACGTGTTATTCGCCGTATTATTGAGATTGTTCCCGCTCGCTATGATTCCATATATCCTCATACAGGAAATCCATCACTTTGTGCACAGTCTATCTCTGCAGCTCACAAGTCTTGTCCGTCTAACGTTCGGATAGTGAATGATGAGACTAACAGTTCAACTGTTTTACCAGCATTTTATTATCCTCATTATGAACAAACCAAATTATGTAGTGTTGTTTCTGGTTTCACCGATCATTTGTGCAGTCTGTTTTTCGAATTGCCTGTCTCAGTTAGTTTGTACGATGTTGTTTTACGTATGGCACAAAAATATATGCCAGAGATTTTAGCTAGACAGCATATTGAGGCAGCAGAGGCTGCAGCTTATGCTGAAGCTGCTGCAAATCCTCATGCTCCTCCGCCATCACCAGTTCCTCTTCCTGAACACTGGGGTGTTTGTTGTTTATGTGCTAAAGAACTGCGTTCACCAAACGGTTTGTTGGATCATGAAATGAGACATTTAGGTCTCTCTAGGTTCCGTTGTGGAGTTCATAATGTTTCGTTCCTTGATCGGCGATCATGGCAAGTTCATATGAATGAACACCACGCATGCCCACGTTCAGGTCCTTTATCTGTTCTTTTACGTCCTAATCCAGTTAATCAAAATGATTCGGGAAGTGACCAAGAAGAAGAAGAAGAAGAACTAGTTGAACAGGACACTGTCCCAGGTAGTGGTTTACTCGCTGGACTTGCAAACGTATTCAACACAAATCTTTTAATTGGTCGAATGGAAGCTCCACAATGCGAAAAATGTAGTGATTATTTCCCATCAGCAGAAGTACTTGCACAACATTTAGACTTTTGTGATGGTGTTAGTTTCTCTCTTCGTACTCCTTTATCTCGAATCGGCAGTGGTGTTCCAAAGCCTATCCTGGCAGATGATTCATACACCAGGTCTGGAGATGATGCAACTGTAGAAGCTTCTGGTCCAAATGCTGATGAAGTGACATCAGACTCCAAAGATGATGCATGTGTTTGTGGTATCTGTGGAACCCAAGTCAATTCACGTGATAAAATACTTCGACACTTCACTGTTTATCACCTTCAATGCATTTTGTGTAATAACATCCTTCGGTCAATGGAAGAATTGTCTGATCATTATCACACACACATAAAAACAGATGCACCAAATGCTTTGGAAGAATTTGAGAATGAGGAAGCTGAACTATTGAAAAGTGATCCAGATAAAGAAGTAAATCTCAAGGACGGTATAAATAAAAAATCAGCAAATAAACTGATGACATGTGACATTTGTACAGAGTTTTATGGAACGAAGTTTAACTATTATTTTCATCAGTGGGCAGAACACGGAGTAGTACATCCAGGTGACGGAGTGTCGGAAAATATGCTTCATATGCTCACCCAAACACGACATCTTCGACAACGTGTCGATAAAGAAGATCTTTCTTCTCTCGGTATTCGTAAAATGAAATGTAAACTATGCGGATTTGTTGTTCGTTGCAGTGGAAAAGATTACGTACAACATCTTAGTGAAAAACACAATATCAATACCACTCTTGAGGATATTTGTCGTATTTGCGCTGATGTTTTTGAAACTCCAGAGGATCTTTCTGCTCATCTTGGTGAAATACATTTTCCCACCGGAGAATTTGCCAATGCCGGTGTTCAGACAATATTTCGTTGTACACATTGTGAATTTTGGGGTTTCAATAAAGGCTTGTTAAGACATTCTCGTGAAGTACATGATGATCCTTGCCCGTCTATATATGAATGTATCCACTGTTACGAGAGATTCACTGATAAAAGAGTATGGCGTGCTCATATGGATAAACATAATGAAGGTTATTCACACAGATGCATGGAATGTGGACGGGCATTTCGGTTAAGACCTTCTCTTCTTCATCATATGCGTTGTCATCATGGGGATGATCAAGGGCCAGCAACTTGCGAATACTGTGGCTTGATTTATCCTAAACGATCGTCGTTAAGATATCATATCTTCCGTATGCATAATCAGGTAAGGTCACTTTCACATTTTATTAAACCAATTGACATTTTCGTTTATCACTAACAATACATCCCTTACTGTCTTCAATGTCTTAATATTGAGGAAGAAAATGAAACTTTTGTTTCAAATGAAGAAATTACTTTTTTCATTCTTATAAAACAGTTTATTCTTATTCAGTCAAGTAGACAAAGTGTTATTTGAACTTTATTTCCTGGCTGGTGAAGTACTCTCACTGACAGATGTAGATTTATTGTATCTTTCTAGCAATCTTTTCTACGTGATGTTAATTTCCATGTCACGATTCATACACACTGATGTATATAAGCAGAATAGTCATGTAAACCTTACACTTATGTCAACTATCAGTAAGCAACAAAATGCTATTCATTCTTAGTTTAACAACAAATCATTTCTGTTTTGTAAATATAAAAAAACCTTCAAAGATCAGGTTGATTATTTTAGTCGCTTTATTCGATACTCCGTATTAAATATATTATAAATTCATGTAGCCTGCTGGCAGATAAAAGATGCCATTTCTTAATGTGTAGATCATCATTGATGAGAGTTTTGTAGATTTCTAGAACAAAACTTTTAAAGGGTTATGTAACATGAATATACATGTTTCAGTTAATATCTCTCAGACTAGAAGGTATCGTCAATTTCCATCAATCCTTATTCGTTTTTGCCTCAAGCACAGGTATTTCCTCTAAAAAGCTTATCAGTGGCTAATTATGCAAAACGCTTCAGTGGTTATACCTCTTCTATGCTGTGTAGAGCAATCAAATGATGTGCAATGTTGGATTATTCTCTATCTGCCTTTGTGTTTCGGAGATTTTATGGTTCATTAATTATTCCCGTCCTGTTTTTTTTATCGTCATTTTATTTTTAATCAATTATTATAGTACTGCAAGGTTATGCATATTAATATCTGTCTTTGTGAGATGGGTGTCGAACCTGTAAGCTACTAGTAGCTTAAAATCATTAATTTCACCCATGACGTTACCACTTTACCAGTTCGACTTTAAGTACCCACTATCTTAGTATTTTCAAGCATGGTCCATAAACGTGAGGCGAACAATTACTTGGTTATCTGCGTCTAATGTCAAGTATTTTCAGGTCGTCTACCAGTTTTCAAACTTATAGTGTTATGGTGATTGTTAAATTTCGTAGTTTATATAATATTGATACCAGTTAGATAACCACTAAAAGTCAGGATGCACTGGATAGCTGTTTCGTCCTAAAATGGCACTTAGTTCAGCGGTCTGAGAGTTAAGTTCTCACCGCCGTACCTTGTGTTCGACTCTCTTTGAGGTCGTGAGTACGCACGTCTCAGTAGTCCAAAATGAGGACAGAACAGTTGTCTAGTGCTCCCTGGTTTTCACTGGTTATCTAACTAAGATCCAGTTGTGAATTAAGTAATTGCTAACCCAAGTAATTGATAGTGAGAAAAAATACTCACTAAAGTCACGTTTAAGGATGTCATTCAGATATCTACAGATAACATTAAATCCTTTCTTTTCGAAATATGGTTCACTGCAATATTGGGAGTTAGTGTTTACGAAGGTTGTACGTTCGAATAATGATGATAATTATATTCGACTATTTTTGACCTAACAGATAATATTGCTTTTCAATAGAAACAATTCTCGTTGTTCGTTATTTGTATTTCTAATTATTTTGATTTTTACCAAATAGTGTCATGGAAATAAATTGCATAAAATATTGAACATTTTTCTAGGAACTAGCTCATGAATGCTTCATGTGTCAACGACGTTTCCGTCTAGAAACAGAACTTCGACGTCATGTAAAGGAAATGCACAGTGGAGCTGTCAAATGTGAAATATGTCATAAAGTATGCGCTAACCTAAGATGTTATGCTCAACATAGACAAAAACACTTTCGTACTCGTATTTATCAGTGTACTGATTGTCAAACAACATTCAAGAGCAAATTGGCTATGAAACGTCATATTCGAGTAGAACATTTACAACTAGGTCCTGAAAAGTTCGAATGTCAGATATGTGGAAAGGTAAAATTGTTATTTCTCTTATATTTAGGTTTCAAAATCCAATTATACTATTAAACATAGGCTTTATTTCATTAGGGACTCAGTAAAAATAATTATTATTTAGGGGATCAATGGTTTGTGATATCTATTAATCTTCATGTATGATTCATGTTATGTAGACAACTAATGAATGGAAGATATTAAATACTAATAAAGTGTGTTAATTTTTGAAGTCTCTCATAAAAACGTAGAATTTACCCACTTGTAAGAAGAAACCCTAATCATCTTTTATTAAATGCCAATTGACAGTACTCAAAAGTGAACAACAATCGGTTGTTTGTAATACAATTAAATAGTTTATTTTGAATCACATTTTGGATTATTACTTTTTTGAGTAAAGTCATTTATAATTTTCAAAAGATTATTGTTGATCAGTCTCAAGCTCAATCGCTTTAGCTAACTTACGCCTGTTACTCCTCGTGGAGGAGCATAGACCGCCTACCAGCACTCTCCATCCAACTCTGTCATGAGCGATCCTTTCCAGTTGTTATTCATCCTTTCCATATCTACTTTAGCGCTGTATACTTTATTGTTTCTATTCAATCATCATTATAACACCTGCTTCGGTCTGGGCACCCGGGCAGTATCACAGCCCACACACAAATAAAATGAAAATGACGAAATTTACTGAAAATTTTATTCTCGCTTCGAATTACAGTAAAACAAATCACATTATTATTATTTATTTGTTTGTTTATTTATTTACTTATTATTATTTACTTTGTCATTTACTCACTCTCTTTTATTCCCAATTTATGTATCCTTATTTTTTGACTTATACAGCAGCTCGCCTATGATGGAAACTCGGTTCTATCTAAATGTTCTCGAGTCAATGCCTGATTAAGAATCGTATGCTACCACCAAATACGAATACTGAAGCAGGTTTTCTGAAACCACGTGCACCATCCAAACTGGCTGCCTTCAATGTTCGCACACTTATGCAGGTCAGATAACAGATAGGGCTGACTGTGTCTATGGAAAGTCTTAATATCGACGTTTGTTGTCTATCCGAGACCCGTATTCAAGACTCTGGCGAAGTACTACAAATTCGATCTACATCTGTCACTTCAAAAAGCTTGTTTTACGTGCGCTTATCCGGGGACCCTGTGGCATCTTCGTCTGGTCTTGCTGGCGTTGGTGTCGCACTAAGCGCTAGAGCTGAGGCAGCACTAGTCGATTGGATCCCCATTAACAGTCGGTTATGTGCTGTTAGATTAGAAAGTTCCATCAAAGTGAGAAGAAATCGGCGTGAGAAACGATGTCTTTTCGTCATCTCCGCCTATGCTCCGACAGATTGCAGCCCGGATGCAATCAAGGATGAGTTTTACCACCAGTTATCAGTTCTTCTCCAGAAAGTGCGTTCGACAGATATTGTAGTACTAGCCGGAGACTTGAATGCTCAGGTCGGGCGTCTAGGCACAGAAGAGAGTCGTTTAGGTGGCCGATGGGGGCTCGTTGGTCTCAGGACAGATAACGGGGACCGTCTACTGCAACTTTGCACAGACCACAACCTGTTTCTGGCTAGCACTAACTTTCGGCACAGTCATCGCCGATGTGCCACCTGGCGTCCTCCCTCTGCATCCCAAGCCTGGACTCAGATTGATCACATCGCGATCAGCTACCGCTGGCGTGGTTGTGTACAAGACTGCCGCTCCTTTTGGAGTACCTATCTGGACTCTGAACATGCCTTGGTCTGCGCCAATCTTACCTTACTTTTCAGTGATCAACGAAGTGACCGCCACCAACGGATTGATGTCAGCAAATTGTTTGCAACTTCTGTTGTTAGTAAGTATCGAACCGAGCTAGCTACCATTCCACTGAAAAGTATAGATGAGCATTGGTTGCGATTGCATGACGCCATGAAAATGGCGAGCTAAGCCGCTTGCGGCTTCACGAAACGTCCCGCTTATAAGCATTGGGTTTCTTCTGGTTCCTTACAACTCATTGACTACGAACGACGACTGTTACGTAATGAAATTGAGCAAGGCTTGCGGAAGGTGGGGAAGGCTTGGCGGTCTGTGCATGCTAATGAGCTGGAAGCAGCAGTTGCATTTGGTAACTACCGGAAGCTCTTCCAACTCATCCGAGCCACTGGCAGCAAAAAGTCTGGTGTGAGCGAAACAATCTGCGAGGATGACGGGATGCCAATCACCAACATCCATCGACGTCTTGGACGATGGGCAGATGATATTATCTTACTGTGCGATAAAGCTCAAGCCATACAATCCGCACTTAACCATTTGGCAATCAGTGTCCGTCGGTACGGTATGTGCTTTGCACCTTCGAAGTGCAAAGTACTTCTACAAGACTGGTAGGATTCTAACCCTGTACTCACTCTGGATGGTGAGCAGATAGACGTAGTCGAGAAGTTCGTGTATCTGGGTAGCTGTATGAGTGCTGGTGGGGGTGTGAGTGATGAGATCAATGCACGTATAGTGAAAGCCAGAGCGGCTTATGCCAATCTGGGCCATCTATGGCGCCTTCGTGATGTTAGTCTGGCTGTAAAAGGTCGGATCTACAACGCGTCGTTGAGAGCAGTTTTGCTCTATGCTTGTGAAACCTGGTCTCTCCGAGTTGAGGACATTAGACGACTCTCTGTGTTCCATCATCGCTGTCTCCGAAGGATTGCTGACATCCGGTGGCAACACCATGTCAGTAATGCAGAGGTTCGGCATCGTGTGTTTGGGCGCAGAGATGATAATGCAATTGGTGTCACCATCTTGAAACACCGACTTCGGTGGCTTGGACATGTTCTCCGAATGTCGTCCCAGAGAATTCCACGTCGTGCATTATTTGCCGATGGTGGGACTGGTTGGAAGAAGCGGAGAGGTGGTCAGTGCATGACATGGTGTCGTGGCATGAAAGAAAGCTGCAAAGGGCCGGCTTGTGTTGGTGCTTCACGACTCCCTAGCTGGGGTCCGAGAGATGGTGCAACACAGTGGCTAGAGACGTTATCAGATATGGCTCAGAATAGAAGCCAGTGACGATCCTGCTGTAACCTTCTTTTACTTTCTTCATAAAAATGGTTGTTTCTTCCTTAACTGAAAAATTCTTCTGATTGTACTTTTCCGTTTCCCCCATTATTATTATTATTATTATCATTATTATTATTATTATTATTATTATTATTATTATTATCATAATAACGGTATCAAATTACTTAACTTACTATTTTACAGGTTTTATCAAAATAAGTTGATTCATTACATGGAATCAAAAAGTTTGATATTATCAATCTAAATGTACAAATCAGTGTTTAAATTATTTAAACCTTGGTGCCCATAAACAATAACTAGAATGTTGTTCTTTTCTTACATATAGTATAAATACAATGATCAGTGTATCATTATGATTAGGCTTTTTAAAAAGTAATCATGATCGACAGAAACATGTATCGTATGCTTGTACGATTTTAAAATGATGGCGAAAATTTTTGCCTCATACATGATTAATGGTTTACTAACGAAGCATTCGTTTTCTTTTTGAACAACATCATCAAATTCTATCTAAGTTAATTTTATGTAATTAAGTGATAATTTGTCTTAAAAAATTCCTTAAAGTTTGACCGATGAGAATTCTAGATAAATAGAGAAATGTTTTATCTTGGTTATTTCGTTCATATAGATTAACCATTCATTCACAGAAGAAATCTATTTTTTTATCTTTTATAGATTGTTACACAAATTGGCATGCATATGTTAATACATAAAGAAGCACGTTTTGAATGTGAATATTGCAATAAACGATTTACTAAAGCTGCCTATTACAATGAACATCTTCGAATACATCGTGGTGAACAACCATTTGAATGTCATATATGCAGAAAGCGTTTTAACAAAAAATCAAATCTGAATGTTCATTTGAAATTTCACGAGAAACATCGTGATGAAGAAGGAAATGTAAGTGTATTTCGGTTCAGTCCTTAAGTGAAATAATAGTATAGTACAATATATTGCATTCACTTGTAAAGTGATTATTTACATATTAGAGCTGTTGAGTTGTGTCTGGTTATATATATCGGCAAATATTTTTATGCCGGCTTGTGTTTTGTCGAAGCAAATTCATGAAATCGAAGAATGAAGTATGATGATAAACCCTATAACTTCTGTTTAGGTTTTCATAGTTTCAATTACTATCTTATTTTAGCTAGACCAACACTCGAAACGTGGAAACATTTGACAGCCGTCTCCTCAGCATTGCAAATCGATGAGTCTATGCGGAAATCTAACCTAGGACCTTCGTTTTTGCACGTGAATGCCTAATCTTTAAATCCAATCAATTCACGGTATCGTGTGACCGTCATCCATTGTCTGCAATGGATAATTGTCTCACCCGATACGTACTGAACACCACTGGTCATAGCTATATAAATACTCAAGGCTGAAAGAAATTGATTAATAAGTCAATGTATTGCTTTTAATCATAGTTATAGTCAACTTGTGTGGTTGTAAATATGACGTAATGGGTTGGTATTAGTTCGTTTTTTTAAAATAAATCTCTACTATATCTTCTCAAAATCTACACAGAAATGAGTAAATTGGATTGAATGAGGTTAAAATTCGTTGATGTATAGTTCAATCCATTCAAAATTCATAGTCATCAGAATACAAAAACGCCTTAAGTGTTATGTGTAGAATTTATTCTTTCCTATATATCTTTTTTCACATTTACTTGGTTAAATTTATGTTGATTTATTTTTAATTGTTGATACTTCTCAAACATTAGTACATGAACTCACTCCATGGTATAAAACTATACATTCCAGAAAATCCAAATATCAATGGTTTATTTTCTTGATCTGTTAATATGATCTGTTTCTTGGGTTATTCTAGTATTCAGACAATTTATTCATTCTTCTTGAGTCACATTTTAATCTTGGTAATTATTCACTTATCAACCGTGACTGTTTTAATATGAGCGTATGTGTGTGTGTACATCCTATCCTACTCATCACATGTCTGTAACTTTTGTTCCACCATAAATATCGATTCACACTTGGCTAAATCAGGTCGGCTCACTCGCTTTCTCCACTGCTCGTCATCTTTTCTCATTACGTTCCCCTGATTGTCTCTCCAGGTTAATGAGTGTACGAAATATACGTATTCAGAAATCCGGTATCGTATTCGACTTATTTAATTCCGTTATCCACCAACTCAATTGAAGCCGATAATTATATACAAGGATTTGTTTATCAACACTTCTTCTTTTTATCGTCACTTAGTTTCTATTTCTTTTTTTTTTTGCTTTTTTCATTAAATTCTTTTAGTATCTTGAATTGAAACCACGTGGTCGTATTAGTACAATGTTTGGTGACGCATTAATGAGTCCAAGTGATAGAGCAGCACGACAAGCTGCTGCTGCTAGATCAATGAATTCAATAATTTATGTACCAAAAGTTGATGTAGCCGTTGGAAGTGATTTTCCTGGTGCTTTCAATTGTACTGGACCAGCTGGTGCAGCAGCTGAAGCTGCTTCACGTGTAGTTGAATTATACGGTCTTGATAATAATAATAATAATGATCATCATCATCATCATAATAATAACAATATTATAAATATGAATCATACAAATTCTAATAATTTTATTCCAGAATCAATTAATTTAAATGATGATTTATGTAATATGGAACCTTCAGTTAAAAAACAACGTTTAACGTAATGTATGTAATTGGTAAGTTGACAAACAAATTTATTTAAGTATTCTAATTCAATTATTTTTTCTATATATAAACTAACGACCTGTATAATTTTTTTGATAGATGATTTCAAAAAGGGGTTTTATGGAGATTTTTAGTAATTTTATAGTTGAATTCCTGAGTCAATTGAAGTTAGACCATCATGAAAAACCTGGAAGCACTAAACAATCGTTTAATTTTAGTATGGGACTCCTCAGCAGTGATGTAGAGGTTAAGCGTCCACGCGCGAAACTAACAGATCCTGCGTTCGAATCTCGCGTGGTGGGATCGTGGTCGCTCACTGCTGAGGCTTCCCGTGATAGGACGAAACGGCCGTCCAGTGCTTCCAGGTTTTCCATGGTGGTCTAACTTCAGTTGACTCATGAATTCAACTATGAATTATTTCAAACAAAAGAATTTTACTAAAATCTAACCGTTTTTTAATTGTAAGGCCATGTAGTTTAGAAATAAAGATGTTTATATCACATAGTGTTTCTTTTTCATCAGTACTAGCATGAAAATCCAGATGTATATATGGTCGTGATGAGTGCACATTCAATGATGTGTTAACACTTGCTACCTTGATGAATGGGATTTCATCTCTGTTTATCTATTCCTCGACTAATTTCACTGCCAATTATAAGGGAAATAGTTTATATCATTTAATACTATGTAATCCGTGCTGGTTCATAGAACTTAACACATTTTGCTCGAAGATTTAAATCTTGGCAAATTTATAAAGATAAATTCAACTTAATACCAATATAATGTGCATAAAAATAGTACTGAAGTAGGGAATTGTTTAATTGATGCTGTCCATCAGAAGAACCAGATCAACCAGTAAGTCCCCACCCATCCACTGTCCTTGTACACTTTGGACTATCAAGTTAATGGTTTTGTAAATTTGTATTGTTATATGAACCGTTAATCTCCAAGTTTTTCATCTAACTAATGTTTCTATTAGAAAATACAACACTTACGTAACTTATTAAGTCTAGATAAATTTCTTATACCATAGAAATCATTATATAACCTAATAGTCTTCTAGTTAATTTTCTTCAACAAAACACGATCAACCCTTTCACATTATATTGTAAGCAGTTATGTCTCATATCTTTGCACAGGAGGTAGGCAAATCCTATATTCAGTATTACTAATACTAATGCTTTTATTGAACAACTGCTCAGGTGATTATTAACACAGTGAATTCATGGTTCTAAATACTACATCTTTAGCGATTAAGTTGCTGTTATAGAACATTGGTCCCAACATATTCACCATCTAACTAATAGTATAACTCAGTCAAATATACACGAAATTATATCTGGCTACCAAGTTACACTGAATTAATATTGAAGTAATTCTTTCATGAGTCGTGGCATTCTTTGAATATTAGAATGTCTATATATTCAAAACATTTTAGTAAGACTTTTTATGACTTGTACAATGCCTAGTAGTATCGCTACGTAATCACTCCCTCAAAGTATTGGTATAAAAGATACATAAAACGTCTTTCTCTAACTTCAATAATCTTTCATTTAAACTTTTTGTAAATATTGCTTACTTGTTTGAAATGTTAAATGTCGATAAATAATTACAACTTTGTTTCGGTTTGGCCTACAATAACTGACTATTTCAATACTGACGAAATCTTTCTCGAACTCTATAACTCAGCAATCGGCACACACACAAATCTCCTCAACGATGGAACCTGGGAAGAAGTCGGCAATGCAAGTGACGAAATTAGGGTGGAAGGACTTCGTTGATTTAGTAACCATTTATTGTGACCTTGGGGCAGAAAAATAGGCTACAAGTGATAATTGATTTTAAAATAGCAAAGGTTACGTAAAGATACGAGTTACAGAAAAATATGTTTGGGCTTATCGCTGGAGAAAAGTTTTCTCACAGTTGAAATTATCGGTCGATCTAAACTAGAGCACCATTAAAAATCTAAGTACACTGCCATTTTGTCCTAGTATGGGACTCCTCAGCAGTGTGCATGCATGATCCCACACATGGTGCTCGAATCCAGGATCTTTGGGTTCGTACGCGCATATTTAATCTTTAGACCACTGAGCCGGGATCCACTGGTGTTAATGTTCAACTTCGATTGGTCCATGATCTTGCACAACCCTTCATCCATTGTTTGGGGTGGATATATATCTGTCTCACACTCAATACGGATCAGAATCCACTGGTCACGGCTTCTCACTAGAACTCCAGGAGTTATATCTTGAAGCTAGCTACTAGTGAGTACCCGATTGTTATGAGTATAGAGGATTTTTGTAGACTGGTATTTGGAATCACAACAGATATCCCCCGCTGGCGTTGGATCAATGGTTGCTCAAGATTTCGGTCTTAGACATCGACACTGTGGTCTAGAGGTTAAGTGTTCGCTTGTGCCACTTTTTTTAATGGATTGTGTGTTAGATGATTGATATTCGAGGTCGTACTCAACCTACTAGGCGGTGTGAACTTGTGGAGTGCTAGGACTACTTAGATTTTCTTAAGTTCACACCTTTGACTAGTGCAGACATTTGTTATATTATCGAAAAAATAAACAAATCCCTTCTTTGTTCTGTCTCTGTGTAGATAATTTACGCTTTATAAGGGGTAGACAATTATTTTTGCTGTTAGACCAATGATTTAGCTTATCATTGACAACATTCTGACTAACTAATATACAGAGACGGAGACCTTCATGTCTTTTGGTCCTTGAGCTCCTTCCAACCCTGTGTATAATCAGGTGACAAAGTTAAGAATCAAATTAATTCTCTATTGTGCAGGATCTATGTAATTAAAAACGTATATAGTAATGTATAGTACATTTCTGACCACATAGAAACATGTATAGTAAATCACTATGTGCGTATATAACCACGCCATTTATGGTACTGAAATAATAAATCTTTAAAATAACTTAAGGCAAATAAAAACACATAATAATAGTTTGTGGGCCACACTGAAGTATACAATGCAAGGAGTATAGAACTACTATAATTCTTCGTAAGATCGCTGAAAAATTAGGTCTACTTTCTCGATGATCACGCTCTGTTGTAATAATGTTTATATTGTTAAACATGCTCTAATTTTATACTATAGATTATGTTCTTTTTAAACTTTTTAGTTTCCACCCCTCAACTTTTGTATCGATCAGGACAACCATCAATTTGTGTTTTTCTTTTATAATTCCACATAAAAAGTCAGATGGTTTTTCTCCCCCCCTCTCTCTCTCTCCCTTTGTATTTGTTTCCCTTTTTTTCATACTCACCTATTTTATGGATGACAACATTTTCCTATTATGTGTATGGCATTTCACCGTGTATATGAATTAATATTTGTTCTTTATCTTTTCCCTGATAATTATCATTGCTTGATGATAATGATGATGATGATTTATTGATATATGGAGATATATACAACAACAAGAACAACAACAAAAAGTAGCATTCATTACTGAATGATGATATTCCATTTTACGTCTTATATGTATTTGTAGCCAATATAAAATTGTATGCTCCTTAATAGGTATGTAATAATAATTGGATTTGTACAGGACTTTTGGTTTCCCCCATTTATATGTGCAGTAAAATATACTCAAAAACAACAACAAACAAACAAACAAACTTTTCATGTCTTGCTATTTTTTTTCTATTTTAAAATACAGAGAAATTGTATATGCACATATCTATTTGTCTGTGTGAAAACTGTAGTTGATTCACCATTATGATGGTGATTTTTTTCATACATGGCTAAAAACATTTTTGTTATTTTTATATCATCTATATGACTGAATTTTTTGTAGAATATTCAATGAATAACACATACACATTAATAATGACCACCAACTATCAACTACTACCACGATTAGTGTAATTTAATGAAAACTATTAAAGTGTATAATACTTTAAATTTGCACATTTCTAATTTATTGTATCATTATTAAATTGTATTATTTTAGTCAGAATATATATATATATATATGTATTCTTCTTTTTTTCAATTCTAACTTTTCTATATCTATGAATGATTTAAGGGTTGTGAAGAGAGAGAGAGAGTTGAACAAGAGTAGTAGTAGTAATTCTAATGGTTTCGAAGGAGGGGAAAGTTAACTCAGATTTCCTTATGTTGGAAAAACACAATTCCTAGAAATTTCAATGATTAAGATCATGAGTCAGTTGAAGCTAGACCACCATGGAAAACCTGGAAGCACTGGACGGCCGTTTCGTCCTACTGTGGGACTCCTCAGCAGTGCGCATCCACGACCTCGCCCCCTGCGAGATTCGAACCCAGGACCTACTGGTTTCGCGCCCGAGCACTTAACCACTAGACCACTGAGCCGGCATCCAACGGTGTTAATGTCTAACTTCAACTAATCCACGAAATTGAGCGACACATTCACCATTGTCTTCAGTGAGTTACTACCTCACAACAGACCTGGTTGAACTCCACTGGTCACTACTTCTCACTAGAACTCCAGGATATACCTCGTGAAGCCAGTCACTAGTGAGCATATTCCTAGAAAGAAGTATTTATTTCCAATTAGTTGATTCATTGCTTTATATATACATTTAAAGTTAGTAATAAAACTAGTGTCTAATAAATGATGACTGGTCAACTCAACAATGTTCTTTCGTATTTCTTATGAATAGTAACCAGTTAGAAAATTAGATCTGAATTGAAGAATACACAGTTCACTTCATCAGTTGAGATGGCTGGGATATGTGTTAGGTATACCCAACCACCGACTACCTGGACGAGCGATGTTTTATGTTGTAAGCGTAGGGTTGGAAGGAGGCTAAGGGCGGCTAGACCAAAACATGACACAAATCCATGAAGTCATTGACAAGTGGACCGAGCTATGCTCGTAGGTGTAGACTACCTGGTTGGGATCCACGAGACGATAGCAACCGATGGTTAGAGACCCTGAATGACATGGCTCAAAATCATTTGCAATGGTGCAGGTGCATCCACACTTTATGTT